TATATACATGTGGAAAACTATTCGGTCCCTAAGAGGTACCACTGATCTCAGCAGCTTTTACATTGTGCAGCCATGGTAGCAAGCAATCTCCATCTTTCTTTCCCTCTCAATGAAACACTGCACTCTCCCCAAAGCAGTGTACTTGGCAGCATTCTCACGCTCTTGTTGAGCCTTCTTCTTCATGGCTTCCCGCTCTGGCCTCTGCTGTTTGGTGATGGGAGTTGATACTCCTTGCCCAGGAACATTGGGTTTCCTCCATGGAATTGGTTGTAAGGCAAAGTCTTGGAGGAGATATTGGTTTTGAGGCTTGGGCAGTTGTGACTGGGGCTTGGTGCCAACATTGGGAACTGGTTGCCAATGAAGAGAAGTACAAGATGATGTTTTGTAGGGTGCAGGCCCAGAAGCAGCAGACCAAGGGACACTAGGCTGGGTAGAAGCGCTCACACGTGACTGAATGGCATGAGTCAAAACGGRGTGAGCTGGCTTGGCAGGACGAATCCAAGATGGGTTGGCAGTAGCTGGTTGGGATGTGTTGACTGCCATGGGTTGAGCTGAGCTAGCAGGACCAGGGTGGGCAGGGTAAGCCCCAGTGGGTCTCCGTGAAGCCAGAGACTGTGGCCTCCTATTGATTACTGGTCGAGGTGGAGGTTTCTCCAGGGTCAGAAAAGGTAAAGGTACCAATTTGACCTTCCCAGGTGGTGGAGGCTCATCAATGGAAGGAGAGAGACCCTCTCCATCAGCACTGATATCTGGATTCTGGGCTTTGATTTGTGATTTCTCAGGACACTTAACCGCCAGCCATGGTTTCATAGCTGGGCATGGATGGGGGTCTTGGGTAGTGCCTGAATTTCCCAGGGCCTGGGAGGAAGAGAGCCCAGTTTTCTTRTCWTTCTTCTTCCCCAGTGCATGGAAAACCTGCACCGACTCCARCATATGCATGTAGAGACAGCTCCGAGGTCTCTTGGCGAAGGTCTCTTGGCAAAGCTCAGGTTGGTTCCTCTTCCGCTTCATCTTGGGCACATTTGGCTTCTCTTCTGCCTTGACTTTAATGCCTGGCTGCTTCCTCTCCTCGGCTTTCCTGGAGTTGTTTTCTCTGGTCCTCTTGGTCTTTTCCTGCCCATGGCCCTTA